GGAGAAGCGGGGTGATGTGGGTGTAATTGGAGGACTTGTTACAGTAGTCTAAGCGTGAGGAGATGAAGGTGAGGATAACTGTCTCAAGCTCAGAGTGAGACAGAATGGGACTCAGCTTAGCAATGTTCCTGAGATGGAAGAAGGAAGAGCGAACAAGAAAACTAACATGAGAATCCAGGGTGAGAACTGGGTCAAAGGTCACGCCAAGATTCCTGACGGAAGGTTTGGTGTGAGAAGCAAGCTGACCAAGAGAGTCTCTGACTTTGGGAACCAGCTTGTCTGGGGCACAGATGAGGATCACAGTCTTATCTTCATTCAGCTGTAGAAAGCTCCCAGCCATCCATGTTTTAAAAGAGTCTAAGCAGGTGTGTAACAGCTGCAGCTTAGACATCTCATGGGGCTTAAAGGAGATGTACAGTTGGATGTCATCTGCATAAAGATGGTAGGAGATTCCTTTGAAGGAGCCCAGATGTGCTGAAGAGGAAGCAGATAGAGGAGGAAGAGCAGAGGCCCCAGCACAGAACCTTGTGGGACACCATGGGTAAGGGAGGTGGTGGAGGACCTAAACTTGGAGACGGCAACAGAAAAGGAGCGCTCAGAAAGATAAGAGGAGAACCACTCCAGAGCAGTTCCTGATAGGCCTACCCAGTCTCTCAGCCTCTCCAGTAGCAGGTGATGGTCAACAGTGTCAAAGGCTGCAGTCAGGTCCAGCAGGACCAGAACAGAACAGTCTCCTGCATCACTGAGTCAGAAGGTCATTAGAGACCCCAAGAAGAGCTGTTTCAGTAGAATGAGCTTTACAAAAATCTGACTGGAAACTATCATAGATGTTGTGTTCATCAAGAGCAGCTGTGAGTTGTTTAGCCACAACCTTTTCCAAGATCTTGGAGATGAACGGAAGTTTAGAAATGGGTCTGAAGCTGCTATGGAGAGAGGGGTCGAGACTCGGTTTTTTAAGAAGCGGGTGGATTACAGCGTTCTTAAAGTAAGCAGGGACCTGACCAGAGACCAGAGAAGCATTAATTATAGAAAGCACTCTGGGACCGATGGACTGAACTGCACGTTTAAACAAAGATGAGGGTAAGATGTCGAGGGGGCATGCAGAGGTCTTCATAGAGTTAACTAGTTTGGTTAACTCAGGCAAAGAAACAGGTGCAAAGCTATCTAGGATGATGGGCCTGGTTGGAGTCGGGAGAGGCAGCGATAAGGCTGAAGGAGAGATGCTAGATCTAACCTTATTGACTTTGTCCACAAAGAAAGACAGAGAGTTCTCACAGTCTGTAACAGAGTGGATGGAGGCTGTAGGAGAGGCAGGAGAGATGATGCTGCTGATGGTGTTAAACAGCACCTTGGGGTTCCCTTTGCTCTGGGACACCAGGTTGGAGAAATAGGAAACCCTAGCATCTCTGACTGCAGAGTTAAAGGATGTCAGAAGATCCTTTAGGTGCAGCAGATGGACATGGAGATGGGTTTTCTTCCACAAGCGCTCAATTTTTATGCATTGGCGCTTCAGGCTGTGAAGTCTGTCAGTAAACCAGGGAGTAGGGTTCACTGCAGGAACTGATCTGGTTCTGACAGGACAGATGTTGTCCAGAATGGAGAGGCAGTACTCGTTAAACTGAGAAGTTAAGGAATCTGGGTCGTTATCAGAAGAACAGGGTGGATCAAAAGCAGCAGAAAAATTGCTAGCTGTGCTCTCATTAAGAAAACGAGAACTAACCATACGGCGAGCAGGAGGTGGGGACGCAGAAACTGACAAGTTAAAGAAATGCAATGGTGATCTGAAATATAAACGTCCTCAGGACAAACACTGTCGGCATTTAGACTCAGGGTAAAAACTAGGTCTAGAGTGTGCCCCCTGGTGTGTGTGGGGCCAGAAACATGCTGGGTAAAGCTGAAGGTGAAGCACAGGCATTCTGAACCACCTGTAGACGGTGCAGGGAGGTTCTGCTCAGACACACGAAAAGCGAGTTGCAGTAGTCTAAGCGTGAGACGATTAAGGTGTGGCTAACAGTCTCAAGTTCAGAGCGGGACAGAATGGGACTCAGCTTTGCAATGTTCCTGAGATGGAAGAAGGAAGAGCGAACAAGAGAACTGACATGAGAATCGAGGGTGAGAGCTGGGTCAAAGGTCACACCAAGATTCCTGAAAGAGGGGTTGGAGTGAGAAGAAAGCTGACCAAGAGAGTCTCTGACTTTGGGAACCAGCTTGTCTGGGGCACATATGAGGATCTCAGTCTTATCTTCATTCAGCTGTACAAAGCTCCCAGCCATCTAGGTTTTGATAGAGTCTAAGCAGGTGTGTAACAGCTGCAGCTTAGACATCTTATGGGGCTTAAAGGAGATGTACAGTTGGATGTCATCTACATAAAGATGATAGGAGATATCTTTAAAGGAGTTCAGGGTGTGCTGAAAAGGTAGTAGATGGAGAAGAAAGAGTAGAGGCTCCAGCACGGAACCTTGTGGGACACCATGGGTAAGGGAGCTGGTGGAGGAACAAAACTTGGAGCCAGCACTGAGAAGGAATGCTCAGACAAATATGAGGAGAACCACTCCAGAGCAGTTCCTGATAGGCCTACACAGTCTCTCAGCTTTTCCAGTAGCAGGTGATGGTCAACAGTGTCAAAGGCTGCAGTCAGAACCAGCAGGATCAGAACAGAACAGTCCCCTGCATCACTGTGAGTCAGAAGGTCATTTGAGACCCTAAGAAGAGCTGTTTCAGTGGAGTGAGCTTTACAAAAACCTGACTGAAAACTATCATAGATGTTATGTTTATCAAGAACAGGTGTGAGTTGTTTAGCCACAACCTTTTCCAAGATTTTGGAGATGAACAGAAGTTTAGAGATGGGTCTCACATGTCTCACTTCCTGTCTGGCTCATGTAAATTCTTCATCTTCACAACGATCTCCATGTGGCATCTGGAAAGATTCTGCATCTGGATCTGCTCCGCTCCACAGCTGGTGTAAATGTTCAGATTGAACTCAACGATTTGAGGAAAGTGCACTGAATCCGATCTGCATCCATTCTGCCGTCTGTGTAAATGAGGCTTAACAGGCTTGTGAGGGCCAGGATTCTTTTTTGTTTATAGGTACTAAATACTTATTTTCTGCACCATTAAATAAATAACTTATTTTAAAGTCATACAGGTAAGTAAATTGTGTTTATATAGCACTCATCACAAAAAGAGAATCAATCACAAAGTGCTTCACATAGAACAAAAACAAAACAAATCATAAAGTCATAAAATCATAATTATCTTAGTCTCTCACTGTTGAAGTGATGAAAATTACAGACCCCTCATCTGTGACAATAAAATATAAATCTAATCATGTCCAGCTGCAACTGACTTGGTTCACTGACACTGAAGGCAAGAGTTTTTACAGATTTAACACTGATAATCTCCTCCTTTCACCTCATGAGAGAAGTCTCCTTCATCTCATTTTTCTGTTTTAACGAGTAACCTCTTCAGATGCACATCCAGGTATGCTCATAACTTGCTTCATTTCTGTATGACATAAAGATCAAATTAAATAGCATGCAATTGCACAAAGGAGTCTGGTATACAAACCATAAAGGTATCTTGTTTACAGAAGGCAATTTATCAATGCAGACTGCCACCCGATTTGACCCCAGGAGCCGTAAATATGAGAGAGAAAGCGAGAGAGAGAAGTGCATACACACAGAGACACCCAAGGACGTACAAAGATAGACAGCAGACATTTAACTGGCACAAATGCTACAGTTCCTTTATTAGAGCATGTAAGTATAATTTAAGTTCCCTGCTCTGTGGCTCTAGGCGGACCATAAAGAGCTGTAATCAATAATCCATACTGGTGTCATGGAAGATTCACATCCACGAACACAGGGGCGCACAAATCCCTTCTGCACACTGAGACTTACAAATGCATTGATGTGTGTGTCTGTGTAAAGTCATGGAAAGGGTCTTAATGTTTAAAGCAGTGCAGTCATGACCAGAAGGGTGGAGAATGGGGGATTATTGTGTCACAAAGTTTTTTATAAGGGTAATAAAGAATGATAGGATCTATTGTATTTAATTACAAAATCTCGCTTTGCCTTCAGTCTCATGCATTCACAGCACACAGAGAGTCCAACAGGCACATGAACTATCTCCTAAACTTAAACCAGTTGTCAGATCTGAGCACCACCAGTGCAGATCTTGCTCAGGAATGGAGGCAGGTAAGTGCGAGTGCATCTGATTCTGCACGCATAATGAAGACAAGACTGGCCTGTTGTCAAGAAGAACAACAAACAAGCCACTTCTCTCTGATATTCTGTTAAAAGTCCAGAGATGGACGGTTCAGGTCTGGAGGAAAGTCCTTTTATCTGATTAATTCTCTTTCTGAGGGTTTTGAGCAGTGGACCATTCATCTGGGGTTTTTTCTTTCAGCCAAGGGAGTGGACTCAATCACAGTTAAGCCTTAAAACACAAAGTATAAATCTAATCATGTCCAGCTGCAACTGACTTGGTTCACTGACACTGTATGTATGCACTTCTCTCTCTCTCTATAAAACACAACCATAAAAAAATGTACCTAAAGATCATCTGAGAGGAACTCCTTTCAACCACCATAGATGAATGGTGATGAATAATGCCGTTTACATCATGATGCGCCAGAAATGCTGAAGTGACAACTAAGTTGCTCAGGAGAGAAAACATCAACAGGAAACTCCTCAGATATTAAGATAATTGAGATTCTGTGGCCAATATTGCAAATATTAACTTTTTGAAGAAATAAAACCAATGCAATGATTTCTAAATGCCTTTTCAAAACATAATGCAACACTCACATTCTTACTTTCGCTCAACTTCTGCAACTTAAATTTAACTTGACTTTACTTTGATATTTGCATAATTACTAAATGTAAAGTCCCCATCCACTGTTTTTATTTTGCATTAATAATAATTTATTTTGTTATCCTTTTGTCTCCATTCTTCTCATCTTTAATCACCTGTAGTAAAAATCTCCCCTCTTTTATCAGATCTCCCAGATGATCACTGAGGCCTCGAGAGAAGGAGTGAGTGAAGCTGCCCTGAACCGCTACAACACACACTCCCCTGCACACACTAATTCACCCTCACACACCAGCTCTGCCTGCAACACTTCAGCTGTAACCACCACAGCACCGACCTCCACCTCTGCTGCTGCCTCCTTCTTTGCCAGGTAAGATACTTTTCACTCCATAACACCTCATCCACACAGTGCCTGGTTTCCACACCGAGTTGTTTTCCCTCAACGATCAGTTTATTATCTTGAAATAGAATAACAAAAAATTTGAAATGAAGTGTACAAGTTATTGCAAAACTCAATTTAATCTCATTACTACTACTTTCAAAAGACTTACTATAGGGGTCTGCAACCTTTACAAATGACAGAGCCATTTCCCTCCTCAGTCCACCAAAATAAAACTTGTTTAGAACCACAACTGTTACATAGGAAGTGTATTGCATTGACCACAAAAAAATAAAAGCTCTGCTTTTCTGAATTAATGAGATAATATTTTAGAAAAACAAAGAAAAGTGTTTTTTAATTTCTCAGATTTCTGAGAATTGCAAGAAAATTCTGAGGAAAAACCTTCTGCATTTTGAGACTAATGCCAATGTGCAAAGACCTAGTCTGGACATCCTACAGATGTGGTCTGGACCAACGGACTCAATATACCAGTAGACATGATCTGCATGCCCATGTGATGTTGGCTGTTTGCAGGGAAGTTGGGATTGTGATTGTTGTACTTGTTACAATGACAATAAAAATGAACTTTTTGTTGCTATTTTTAAAAAAATTCAATTTTTTTCTTCATTTTTTGTCATAAAAAGAATATGGGTGTATTTTTCTATAGGATCTTGACATTTGCAAAAAACACATTTTTACCATTATTTTGTTGGGAAAATTCAACGTGGTTGTTCCATTAAGAAACTTCAAATCTGTTTAAACCGCCATATTAAAAATTTTGATTTCTTAATCAGTTTGAGCCAGTTATTAAGAGCCTTTTCTGGGGATCTAAAGAGCCACTTGTAGCTCCAGAGCTGCAGGTTTTAGACCCTTGTTTAGTAGCATTTTGTGGGATCATCCTCACTGGGAAAATGGTAATTTCATTTACTGTAATCATGATGTTTAGCGCTCCTAAAACATCTCTTTTTTACGGCTCTGGTAGGAAATTTCTCAATTAGTCAGATAGATACAGAAGAACAAACTGACAAACATTCTCATTTGAAGATAAAGTTAGTGAGAAAATTGGTGCACTTGTGTATAAATCAGCTCTCCCCTCATCAGTTGTCTGTGCAATCCAATCTGGAGGAATGCAGAGCGGCACAATATAAATAAGACACAGATAATATGGGTGCATTATTGATGAAAAACATGGCAAGCTGAAAATGAATGAGTGAATTATTCATGGGTGACACCAGAGTCTGAGTGTGTCACAGTGTCTGAATGATCGCTGAGATGTCGACTCTAATGAGCTGCTTTAAATAACATTTTAAATGATACTGATGCTTTCTCTCCTCACTCTCACACCTCTTCTCTGCCCACTCACATATAATTAAATGTGTGTGTGTGGGACTGATGTAAACACACTGCGCTTCCGAGGGGAAGATATCAGGCTGTCTGTCTTTCTAAATTCTCACATGCAGCCCATAAATCACATGACAGCATGAGCAAACCCATGCATGAACCCCTGCACTGTCAAGGTATCAAGGCTGTTTGGCACCAACACACACACACACACACACACACACACACACACACACACACACACACACACACACACACACACACACACACACACACACATCTGTTTGACATTTCAAATATACAACCAGCTGTCTTAGGCTCGGATGGTTTAATGGTGTTCGTGTGGGTTTGTGTCACATATTGCTTCAGACTCTTTCTCCAGTTTTATAGTGAAAACAGACTCCAGGTGGATCAAAAGTAAAAATAAAAAAGCAGGTTGGAGAAGTCTGTATTTGTAATAATATTAGTGTTGGTCTGCAGAAGAGGGTGTGCTGGGCTGTGTTCGCAGATATCAACATGCCTACAAATGTAGTTTCTTTACTCTGCTCCAAAGCAGTTGATGAGTGTGGCTTCTTTTCCCACAAAGAAAACCAAAACCAAAACGTGTAACTACAAACCACATCAGAACATTTAGTCAGCTTATATTTCTTGCTAAAAGCAAGCCCAAACTGCCTAGTTTCACTTTCACCATTTTATTCCGCAAACGGTTGAGCAATTTGTAATATCACTGTCTTAACACACGCTCACGCCACACCTCTAATTTCTCACATTGAAAATCAGACCCCACCTCCACATCCGCCAGAGACTTAGAGACAACCCTGTGTCTGACTGTATGTAATGGGGACAAGGATGCAAAACTCTCTTTTTGCACCCTTTTGTGCTGCCATGTGGGTCTCTACTACTTCTATGAACACTCCAAACAGGAAAAGAACATCCATCTATTTTCTGTCAGTGTCTGGTTTTAGGAATTTTGTGCTTAAAACAAGTTGTTTCATAAAGTCCCCATTTGTCATGTCACAATAACTCTCCCCAAATTTTCGACACTGGAGGACCAGTTGGGGGGCCCCTCCCAGATATCTGAGTTCTTCCCCTCATAGCAACCAATCAGGCCATGTATGGGTGTGGCCAGAAAGAGCTTATTTTTTTATGCATTTGCGAGGCAGCATATGGTTTGCTTTGAATATAGAACATGTTTAAAGGAAAAATATGTTCCAGGTAACAACAGCTTTTTAGAAGTTATCTACTCAGTAAATAAGAATCAGTCTCACATTCAACCTCACTGAACCTGAGTCAATCTCTTTTTCTTGTAATTTATCACTATCTAGTTTTTTAATCAATTGCATGCACATGGTTTACAAATCCATACACATAGATTTAATAAACAGAGGCAATGGATTTCCTATATTATTTTTTAATTCCAAACAACTGATAAATGGCTGACTTTGTACTACTGCTTTGGTTGCTATTTAAAGCTTATCCACATGTTGGATTTTACTTTAACATTTTCTCTGTAGGAACATACTGTAATTAGGAAAATTCATGCATGTTCAATCATATTTTATTGGAGTAACTTGTCTTAACCCAATCAGGATTTGCAAGTAAGTGTTCCCTAATGTATAGAAACATTTGCAAGGTTCTCAATTTCCTCACAAGTGGCAGGGACTTGCTGTTGAACATGTTAAAAAAACGTGGAAGATAAATGGGTAACAATTTACAATAAGTAAAGTAGTACATTATTAAGCTTTAATAAAGTATGAAGAAGAATAAGAAGAAGAAGAAGAAGAAGAAGAAGAAAAAGAAAAAGAAGAGGAAGACGAAGAAGAAGAAGAAGAAAAAGAAGAGGAAGAAGAAGAAGAAGACAATCTTTTATTTAGCGCCTCTCAAGATAAAAATCACAAGGTGCTTCACAAGAACAAAAACAATAATATATATATATATATATATATATATATATATATATATATATATATATATACACTCAACAAAAATATTAACGCAACACCTTTGTTTCTGCTCCGATTTTTCACGAGATGGACTTAAAGATCTAAAATTCATTCCAGATACACAATATTACCAATTCTCTCAAACGTTGTTCACAAATCAGTCTAAATGTGTGATAATGAGCACTTCTGCTTTTCCTGAGATTATCCATCCCACCTCACAGGTGTGCCACATCAAGATGCTGATCCGACATCATGAGTAGTGCACAGGTGTACCTTATACTGCCCACAATAAAAGGCCACCCTGGAATGTGCAGTTTTGTCTCACAGCAAAATGCCACAGATGCCACAAGTATTGAGGGAGCATGCAATTGGCATGCTGACAGCACGAATGTCAACCAGGTCTGTTGCTCGTGCATTGAATGTTCATTTCTCCACCATAAGCCGTCTCCAAAGGCATTTCAGAGAATATGGTAGTACATCCAACCGGCCTCACAACCGCAGACGACGTGTAACCACACCAGCCCAGGACCTCCACATCCAGCAGGTTCACCTCCAAGATCATCTGAGACCAGCCACTCAGACAGCTGCTGAAACAATTGGTTTGCATAACCAAACAATTTCTGCGCAAACTGTCAGAAACCATCTCAGGGAAGCTCAACTGCATGGTCGTCATCCTCATCGGGGTCTTGACCTGACTCCAGCTCATCGCCGTAACAGACTTGAGTGGGCAAATGCTCACATTCGATGGCGTCTGGCACGTTGGAGAGGCGTTCTGTTCACGGATGAATCTCGATTTACATTGTTCAGGGCAGATGGCAGATAGTGTGTGTGGTGTTGTGTGGGTGAGTGCTTTGCTGATGTCAATGTTGTGGATCGAGTGGCCAATGGTGGTGGTGGGGTTATGGACGAAGAAATCTGTTATGGACGAAGAACACAGGTGCATTTTATTGATGGCATTTTGAATGCACAAAGATACCGTGATGAGATCCTGAGGTCCATTGTTTTGTCTTACATCCATGAACATCACCTCATGTTTCGGCAAGATAATGCACGGCCCCATGTTGCAAGGATCTGTACACAATTCTTGGAAGCTGAAAATGTCTCAGTTCTTGCATGGCCAGCATGATCACCGGACATGATACCCGTTGAGCATGTTTGGGATGTGCTTGACCGGCGTATACGATAGTGTGTACCAGTTCCCACTAATAGCCAACAACTTCGCACAGCCATTGAAGAGAAGTGGACCAACATTCCACAGGCCACAATTGACAATCTGATAAACTCTATGCGAAGAATATGTGTTGCACTGCATGAGGCACATGGTGGTCACACCAGATACTGACCGGTTCTGAGTCCCCAGACCCCCAATAAAGCAAAAAACTGCACATTCCAGGGTGGCCTTTTATTGTGGGCAGTATAAGGTACACCTGTGCACTACTCATGATGTCCGATCAGCATCTTGATGTGGCACACTGTGAGGTGGGATGGATTATCTCAGCAAAGCACAGGTTCTCACTATAACACATTTAGACTGATTTGTGAACAATGTTTGAGAGAAATTGTAATATTGTGTATCTGGAATGAATTTTAGATCTTTAAGTCCATCTCATGAAAAATCGGAGCAGAAACAAAGGTGTTGTGTTCATATTTTTGTTGAGTGTATGTTAGAAGATTTCAAAAATGATTGGAGAAAAGAAAAAAATATGT